GTTGCAACCCCATGCTCCGAGTGTCCCTAGTCTCTGTTTGCCAGAAGCTGGGAATGGGCTACGGGATAGATCACTTGATGATTGCCTGTTCTGTTCATTCCCTCTAAAGCACCTGACATTGGCCACTGTACTGGGCTAGATGGACCATTGCGCTGACCCAGTATGGCCATTCTTATGTTCTTAATAATTATTGTAATTGTTCATATTATGTTACTGCCTACTATTGACTGGGGCTCTACTGTGCTAGACTCTGTGCAGGCATATAGAAAGGCACAGCCCCTGTTCTGAAGTGCTTACACTGTAAATTAAAATAAGATGCAACAAGTAAGGGAACAATAGGGAAAATGATGTTGACAGTACTAAGACCATGTCTACACTTACAGGTAGATCTGAGATCAATGCAGCAGGTGTCGATTTAGCGGGTCTGGTGAAGACCCGCTAAGTCGATGGCCGAGCACTCTCTGGTTGACTCCGGTACTCCAGCTCCCTGAGAAGCATAAGGTAAGTTGACGGGAGAGCGTCTCCTGTCGACACAGTGGGGTTTAGACACTGCGGTAAGTCGACCTAAGCTACGTTGACTTCAGTTACTTACCGCAGTAGTGTAGGCAGTTATATGATCCAGCCATGTGCATTGGTGTGCAATTGATTCAATTACATCATGTTGTTGTTAGCTTTTTCCTTTTGGGGGGGAGAGAGGAAGTAGAGTTTTTGTTTGTTTTTTTTAATTTAAACTCCTTTTATCTTAATTTTTATTTTTTAAACCTCAGCCTAGTTTTTATATATATATTTTTATTTTTATCACTACTGTTTCTGTTTTTTCTTAATTTTTAAATTTACATTCCACTTCACAGACTCTCAAATATCACACCTATTATTATTCCAAATACTAAACCCACAAGTCCTCAAGAACCAGTGCGTTAGGGGTCACAGAATCAGTGAGTTTCCACTTCTTCTTCTTCTTCTTCTTTCATGTGACAATGGAAAAGCAGTAGGCTGGGAATCTTAATTGAATCTTAAGATTCAAAAGCCATTCTCATGCTTCTGGACGAGCTTGGTGGATCCCACTTTTACCACCATGGTAAGCGTGAATGGGGCAGTTATCTGTGATGTTGCATGGTTTGTACCTCACCACTGTCACAATTTGGTGATTCTTTAATTTTTCTATTAATGAAGGAGATAGCCACACCTTCCATACATTGTCTGAACGCAGTTTAGTGCAGTCCACTGCCTACAGGGAAGACAGAACCCTGGGATTTCTTTTGTTGGGTTTTCAATGAGGTCTTTGTTTGGGACCAGACCACAATTTGAGCCAGCAAGTTCTAGCATCCTTTCTGTTGGCCTGTGGCATTGACATGTTGATCCAGCAAGCTTCCTGGATATGAGTCAGGAGAGTGACAGTGAATTGAGGTCTTGGTGTATTGGCAGTTCCGGAGTGGCCAGAATCTTGTTTAACTTCCAGACCACTGCAACATCTCACCTGATGTTAGCTAGTGTGATGCCTGCCTAAAGTAGGAGCTTTAGTATTAGCATTAATGCAAGAAAATCATTAACAATCCTGAGTGCAGCATTCATTTCAGTGTCAATGAGATTGGTGTGGGAGCTGTTGCACCAAACTGGTATGCAATACTCCACTGTTGACAAAACCTGGGCTTGTACTGACGTTCGAAGCTTGTGTGCATCACATCCCCAGGATGTGCCAGAAAACTTCTGGATAATGTTAACCCTCATCCTTTATCTTCTTTGTGGTGTTGTCAAGTTGTTGGTGATGGCTCAGCATCCAATCAATGGTAGCTCCAAGGTACCATGGGTTGTGGTCATGCAAAAGAGGTAGACCATAAAAGAGGTAGACCATGGCATCATGGTTGTTCAAGTGGAAGGCAGAAACAAGTGTTTTCAAAGTGTTGGATTTCAGTCACCAAGCTTTGAAATATGTCTCAAGTGTCCAGAGTTCATTGTTCATGACCTTTTCTGTGGCCTTCAGAGAGGACGCTTGTATTGTTAGCACAATGTCATCCACATAGATGAATTTATGGGATGATGTGACCAGAACGTCACTGTTATAGAGATTGAACAGTGAAGGCATTAAAACAGATCCCTGTGGGGAGGCCATTGTTCAATATCCATAATTTGCTAGAAGACTCACCAAGGTGTGCAGTGAATCTTCTGTTACTCAACATCTTGGTGATGAGTCTGATGACTGATTGGCATGGGAGAGCTAATGATAACTTCAGCAGACCTTTGTGCCACACAGTATCATATGCAGAAGAAATATCAATGAATGCTGCTGCTGTTTTTAATTTTCGCTGGTAGCCAGATTCTATGTAGCTGGTTAAAGCCAGCACCTGGCCACAGCAGTTGTGACCGGTTCTAAATCCAGCCTGCTCTTTGGAGATCAGTTGCTCCAGAGTTGGCTGTAACCTTTGAAATAGGAGCTGCTCCAACAGTTTATAGCAACTGTTAAGGAGGAAGATGGGCTGGTAGCTTTTTGGGCCAAGTTCTTTTCCAGGCTTCAAAATAGCTATGAGCTTGGCTACCTTCCACTCTTTCGGTATTATGCCAGAAGAGTGGATGTTGCTGAAGAAATCTGCCAGCCAACTTCTTGCCTTCAGGCCAAGGTTCTTCAGCAATTTGGAGTATATTCTGTCCATTCCTGCCACTTTCCTGGACTTAGTGTTGGAGGCTCCCCTTGGGATAACAAGCCTGGTACATATCAATTTCTTTGTTAAATTGATGAACTTGTATAAGCTTGCAGCGTCCAGCGGGCATAATTGGGCAGTGCAAGATGGAGGTTCCTAGGGTTGTGTCTGGGACCGGAGGTATTGGCTAGTGTCATTCGGTTGCACAATCCAAGGAGCAGCTTACATGCCAGAGGCTGTGCGTGAACAGCCCCGGAGTGGGGGTTCTCATAGCAGAGCAGGGTGAGGCTGGCTCCCAGAGTCAAGGATTGGAGTGACCTAGCAGATCACTGATCCAGATAACACCAGAGGGGAACATCACAGAGATATACCCATATGATCCTGGCAAGTGACCCGCACCCACACGCTGCAGAGAAAGGCGCACCCCTCACCCCCAGGGTTACTGCCAATCTGACCTAGGGGGAAATTCCTTTCTGACCCCACATATGGCAATCAGTTAGACTCTGAGCATATGAACAAGAACCTGCCAGTCCAGCACCTGAGAGAGACAATGCTCAGTATCACCACAGAGCTGTGGCCCACTCCCCCAATGTCTCATCTCCAGCCATGGCCATCCCTGATGGATGGATTCCTTCAAAGGAAGAAAAAACCCCATCTCCAAATACATTGGGGGAGAATCCCTTCCTGACCCCTCCAGGTGGCCAGCTGAAACTCTGAAACTTGAGCTTTAGGATCATAAGCCATAAAGCGGAATCGAGCCCCAGGGCTTTTGAACCCTGCCCTGACCTGCACCATCACAAGCAATCCTGTCATACAACTGCACTCATACATTTGTCAACAATTTCTATTGGGAGGCTGTTCCAGAAGCGCACCTCTTTGATGGTTAGAAACCTTCTTCTAATGTCCAGCCTGGATTTGTTCATGGCCAGTTTATAGCCATTTAGTTTTGTGCTAACATTGTCCTATAGCTTAAATAGCCTTCACCCTCCCTGGTATTTATCCCCCAATGTATTTTGTAGTGCAATCATATCCCCTCTCAGCCTTCTTTTTGCTAGACTAACCAAGCCAAGCTCTTCCAGTCTCCTCTCAGAAGACAGGCCTTCCATTCCCCTGATCATCCTAGTAGCTCTTCTCTGTACCTACTCCAGTTTAAATTAATCTTTCTTGAACATGGGTGACCAGAACTGTACACATTATTCCAGATAAGGTCTTATTGTACAAAGGCATTAACACTTCTCTATCTCTTCTGGAAATGCCATGTCTGATGCATCCTAGGATTGTGTTTGCCTTTTTCACAGTCACATCACATTGGTGGCTCATTGTCATCCTATGGTGGACCCACATACCTAGGTCTCTCTCTTCCTGTGTCAATTCCAGTGGATGAGCCCCCAACTTGTAGCAGAAATTCTTATTATTAGACCCCATGTGCATGACCTTGCACTTTGTACTATTGAAAGTCATCCTGTTTCTGTATCTCTGGTGTTCAGTGTCATCCAGATTTTTCTGTATAATGTTCCAATCCTCCTCTGTATTGACGATGCCTCCCAGCTTTGTCTCATCAGCTAATTTCATTAGAACACTTACATTTTGTGCCAAGACCATTAATAAAAATATTGAATAAGGTTGGGCCCAAGACCAATCTTAGAGGAGCTCCACTACTAACCTCCCTCCAGTCCCTTTGTTTCATGGTGGTGGTGTTTTTCAGGCTCACACTGGCAGATGCACGAAATAGTGTCACTGTTTTGTATTTAAAAAAAATGTCATAGGCTTATAGTGTATCCTCTACTTGATGGACTGGAACCAGGTGACTGTGTGGCATAGCCCTAATACTGCTAAAGGTAAAGGAGATTTTCCTTTAGCTGAAGTGGTAGCGGTCTGTGCTTTTGGAGCAGAAGGATATGAATTCTAGCCCCACTGCTGCTGCAGCCATAGGGTGTGTCTACACTGCAGTAAAAGACCTGCAGCTGGCCTGGGCCAGCTGACTCAGGCTCGCGAGGCTCGGACTTCAGGGCTATAAAATTACAGTGTAGACGTTTGGGCAAGGGGAAGCCCAAGCCTGAATGTCTAAACTGCTCTTTATAGCCCTACAGCCCAAGCCCTGGGAGTCCGAGTCAGCTGAGCTGGGCTCTGAGACACGGTGCTGTGGGTTGTTTATCACAGTGTAGAGGTACCCATTGTGTTTATTATAATTGTGGCCATGAAATCTTAGGCGCCTATTACTGCCTCTCTCAGAATAAAGAATCAGGTCAGGGAGCACCCATCTGAGGTTAGCTGTTTCAGGGAGAGGAAGTTAATTCTGTCCTGGACAGAAGGCTGCAGTATTGATGTTTCTTTTGTTTTTGCTGTGTGTTTGTTTTAAAACAGGAGAAAGCAACTCATCCTGGAGGCCCTGGGAATATCGTGGATGAGATTGGTGAGTTGGGCTGATCAGTGGGATCACAGACATCACAGAGCTCACTGGAGTAATTTCATCTGTCACGTGCTGAATGGAGCAACAGACCAAATACACTTAGCTTTGCTTTCTGCAGCACAGTGAGCACCCAGCAATGGATTGTGATTTCTTCTTAGTTCACTCCCGGAGTCCAGGGTTCCCATCTAGTGTATAACCTGCTAACCAAATGGAGATTTCCCTGGAGAGAAAGTAAATCCAGAGGGAGGAAATGCAAGAGTTTGAGTGTAGGGGAGTCCTGGCTGTGTTAGCGTAGTTGGGGTGTGTTAAGGGAGGGAACATTCACCGTCTGGATGCAGTGACTCCAGAAAGTGGTAGATTGAAGTGGGAATCCTAAAACTAAGTCTGGGCTTCCTCTTCCCCCATTTAATGCCATCCATCACACTGCACCCAGCTGCAGCCATCCAGCCATGCAGCTGGTCTGAGCCTGCAGTCAGCCACTGGAGTCAGCACTATCCATTGGAGTTCCTTTTTCAGCTGGTTCCAATGTTGTTCTGATATTTCTCTGGGGAGTCCCTAGGGTCTGCCCTTAGATTTAACTTACTTCTTTAGTGCCCTGGAAACATTCTTAAATGTAAACCCTTCCAGTGCCATTGCTAACCTGTTGGGTTGCAATCCTTGACAGTAAAGCTCCAAGTATAATAAACCATGTGTTACCTGCTTCAGATGAATGGATCTGATCTGTCATGGCACCACTATGTTGGGGTACCTCTGAGACCTTGTCCACTTGGTTCCCCAAGAACTTTGTTTGACACCGGTCTCGTCACTCAGGGTCCTTTATTTGGCATACCTCAAGCTATGCTGAGTTGATCAGACTGAGATGTGGGGGTGGGCACAGGTTATACCACATATCCAAAGTTATACAGAAACTCCCTTCCATTATATACATTATATTCACTATATATTGCATTATTCCTTTGGGGATTGGCTTGGTTACTTTGCAGGAACCTATCCCTGCATAGCAAGCTCTGCCCACGTGCTGTCCATATTCAACTTTACTCTTTACACTCCTGACTTCTCTTTCCCCATTGTTATCTTGTTCTTAGTAAATAGTTCCCAGGGTGTTCTCCCTCTTATTTTAGCAAGCTCAGACGTTCTGTTTCCAGCCTGCTTATCCATTTACCCACCTAATCCTGTCTCCCAAGATATGAGGCCTCCTCCATATTTAATTACTCATGTCAAGCCAGTCCTACATAGGGGTATGGGACTATATAAAGCCCCTGACACATGATTCTGCTAATCCAGGATGTGAGTGCCTTCCCCATATGTACATGTGTGCTTTACCTGATTCATGTCATTCATTTTATCAAATTTCATCAAATTACTCTTTCCCCTTACAAATCAGCTCTCATTTCAGATGCAGAATTCCACTACACCCCAGCCCATTAGTGTTCGTAAAGCTGGGAAACTGTTTTGTATGATCTGGCTGAATTCTGGAGCTGGTCAAAAAATGCCAGTAATTTTTCACTGGAAATTTTGAGGGTTTTTTGTTTTCATCAAATGTCTCCTGAGAATTTTTCAACCAAAATGATACACCAAAAACCATTTTCAGATAAAATGTATGGTTCCCAAAATCTGAAAATCATTCAGTAAAAATTTTCAGGTTTGGGTTTCCATTTTTTTCCTATGAAAAAACAGAATAGTTTGAAAATAATTTTTTCCACACAAAAATTGTTTTTGACCAAAAGCCTTGTTTGTCAGAATTACGTCTTGGCAGAAAAAATGTCTCCCAGCTTTATCAAATACACCTCTTTGGCATTGTATGTTTGCGGTCAACTGCACATACACGCTTTTGACTGTGAATAGATGCGTCATACCACGAGTGACCTGGATGGCCAATTTCGAAGCTTAGATAGTCAGTACCAGTACTAGACACAACATAAATGCTCCATAGATGGCCATTCATTCATTTGTGACGTCGGTTGAATGCCGATGAATGATGCACCATGGCTTCACATAAAAGCCCAGATCTGCCGAATTATGCATCCAGGGAATGTTATTCGATCAGCTCTCTACAGAAGTTTGTACTGTACATGTTGAAGAAAAGGAACCCACAGCGTTTCCTCCTCTGCTCATTATCTTTGGTTTTGGCCATATCCCTCATCTTGGTCTGTCTTGTGCCGTTCGGGCACAGCCCTGCATTGAGGGTGGCATGGCCCTAAAAGGAGCTCCTGGAAACAAGTTCAAGTGCTTCCCTTAGCTCTGGGGAGTGGAGGGTAAGCACAGTCCTTGCTGCACCTGCTGAAAGGGTGTGACATGCTCCCTTTACCTGGTGTAGGACCAGCTGTGCTGGCCAAAGTGGCACAGGAGAGGGGACAGATCCATAGCTCCCACCCACTTTTGGAGACCAGTGCCACTGTAGGCTCTTGCCCTGTGCTTTAGGAGCACAAGGATTATGATTTTGCCTGGAACCCTCTAATGCTACCTTTCATAGCTCCATGGGTCTGGTCACAGTCCTGTCCTTAGAGACCCCTCCTTGATGTTGGAGGGATGAGAGTGCTATGTTCTCTTGTGCTGCTGGAGTGTAATGCTCTCCAAAAGGTCACTGTTCACAGTCACTTCATACAGCACCAAAAATAAATGCTGAATTAAAATAAAAAAGTTTTGAAATGATAAAGGCATTTCCAACTGAAGGAAACCTCAGGGCTGTTTTATAGGCTTGCAGGAGCTTTGTGTCAGATGCAGGACTCATAAGCAGCAGGGAAGACAGAAGTTCAAGTCCTAGCCTCCATCAGTGGTTAACCTGATCAAGAGCTGGTACTGCAAGGCAGTCTCAGATCTTATCAAACAGAGAGAGATATTTTTCTATGTCCTGCTTCCAGAACAAGCAGTGCAGGAGACAGCAAACACAGAGCTGTATGTGAGAAGACAGCACCAGACCATTCCCAGGAGCCACTGTGAGGATCAATGGTAAAGACAGTTCATCCTGGGTGTGCTTTTGGCTCAAGCCTTGGTTACACTTGCAAGTTAGAGCTCATTAAATCAGTCCCGGGTGCTCCTGAGGTGTCCACACTGGCAAGGCACTTAGAGCGCCTGGACTCTGCAGCTGGACCACTCCTGGTAATACACCTCCACGAGAAGCATAGAGCTTGCTGCGTACTGGCTGAAACGCCCAGGTGTCAGTGTGGATGATGTGTTGCATTACTGCGCTGTGATTGGCCTCCGGTAACGTCCCATAATCCCTTGAAGTCAAGTGGCCACTCTTGTCATTGTTTTGAACTCAGCTGCAGGCCGCCCCTTTCAAAGCTCTATTTCTGACAGCCAGCATGCTTATCTGCTCCGGGACAAAGGAAACCATTACTGTGGAATGCTGCTGCTGCCGAGGCAGGCGTGTGTGTGTGTGAGGGGGGGAGCTAATGTCGGGGTTTCCCCCTGCTGCTGTCTGAACTTACAAGACAGCATGCTGACACACTCTCTTCCCCCTAAAACACACTCTCTCTCCCCCCACATACACACAATACAATCCCTGTCACACTCCCCCCCCCCGCCATTTGAAAAGCATGCTGCAGCCACTTGCACACTGGGATAGCTACCACAATGCACTGCTCTCTGTGGCGTTGCAAGAGCTGCTAATGTGGCCATGCCTCTGCGCTTGCAGCTGACAGTGTAAACACATGGCAGCACTTTCCCTGCTGCGGTCTCTGAGGGCTGGTTTAACTCCCGGCGCTTTACATCTGCAAGTGTAGCCATGCCCTCAGTGATCTTTGGCTCTTCAGATAAGCTTTTTATTTGCTCTTCTGGATTTTCCATTTCTGCTAAGCTCGGCCAGTTCTTTCTGTCTGAATAGCAGAAAGGAGACAAAGCTTCTAAAAGAATAACTGCTTGCAAGGGAGCTCACAGCAGCATGGATGCTGCTGCAGCCTCAACAGGCATTACAGTAGGCAGCAGTGGGTAACCGAGGAAATGGAGATCAATTGAAAGGGTAACAGCCTGAAGATTGGGCACTGGCAGAACGTACAGTGCAATCTGTCATCCGTCCCATATGTACAGCATATAATGTATTCTCTTCATGGTTAGGGAGGACACCTAAGGCCATATTGGATGGCCTACTCCAAGTGGGATGAGCTTCTAGCATAGTTCTTGCCAATACCTGCTAAGACTGGGATAGAAAACTTGAGGAGGGGACCATTTTCTACCTTCTTTGGGACAGTGAAGACAGCTAATTATCAATGACCCCAGCTGGTTACTACACCAAGAAACATGTCACTTGACTCTGATCATTCATTCTGCTGACTGGCTTTTCTTTAAAAAAACAAGTTCTCCTTTCTCAGGGCAAGTCAACACTACCGCGCTACATCAGTGCAGCTGCACCGCGTCTGGTGAAGACCTGCTATGTCAATGGGAGAGCGTTCTCCCATTGGCATAATTATTCCACCTCCGTGTGAGATGTAAGCTATGTTGGTGGGAGGGTGTCTCTCGCTGACATAGCGCCGGTGTGGACAGCGTTTAAAACGATGTACCTTGCATCGTTCTGGGGGGTGTATTTTTCACACCCCTGAGCGATGTAAGTTACATCGACTTAAGTGGTAGTATAGACCAGCCCTTAGTAATGCCAGTGTAAAGCTAGAGCCACTCCAACAAACTGACTCTGGATTTACAGCAGTGTAGCTGAGGTCTAACTCTGGCACAGAGTCTGTATTACATAGTAGTACACCATGGTGTATGTGTTGTGTCAAATTCTACAGTAGTCTGTGTTCTGTATTAGATATGCTGCACTATATTGTATGGATTCTTTTCTACCATGGTATAAAGAGAGACTATACTTTTAAGGCAAACTGAAAAAGAAAAAGAAATGTGGCTGTGTGCCTTCATAGAGACATAATGGAATCGCAACTGAAACCAAATAATAATAAAGATGGAGAACTGAAGATGGATAATGACATCTCAAGAGGGTCAAACCTCATCTGCAGTTTTCCTACCCCTTAAAATATTGACCTGAGGCTCAACATCCCAGCCCATCTAATGAGGGTTGTGAAAGCGACAACTCAGGTTTCAGCCTATTGCCATATGATTGTCTAACTGGATTTCCAGGAAATCAGGGAAGTAAAGAGCAGATATTTCTAATGGTTTTTTAAAAAGGAGTTTAGGGGAGAATTAAAAAAAAAAAAAAGTTGAGGCCTGGTTAGTGTATTATGAAACCATAAAAGGTGCATGGTTGTTTTTTTTACAGCTCATTGTTAATGTATATACATATAGGAGCATTCAGTCTTAACTTAGAATCATAGAACTGGAAGGGACCTCGAGAGGTCATCTAGTCCAGTCCCCTGCACTCATGGCAGGACTAAGTATTATCTAGACCATCACTGACAGGTGTTTGGGGATTTTTAAGAGCAGGTTGGACAATGATGGAGATTCCACAACCTCCCTAACTGTCATTAAGCACTGGAATAAATTGCCTAGGAAGTTTTTCCTAATGTCCAACCTAAACTGCCCTTGCTGCAATTTAAGTCTATTGCTTCTTGTCCCATCCTCAGAGGTTAAGAAGAACAATTTTTCTCCCTCCTCCTTGTAACAACCTTTAATGTACTTGAAAATGTTATCATGGCCCCTCTCAGTCTTCTCTTCTCCAGACTAAATAAACCCAGTTTTTTCAATCTTCCCTCATAGGTCATGTTTTCTAGACCTTTAATCATTTTTGTTGCTCTTCTCTGGAATTCCTCCAATTTGTCCACATCTTTCCCGAAATGTGGCGCCCAGAACTGGACACAATACTCCAGTTGAGGCCTAATCAACATGGAGTAGAGTGGAAGAATTACTTCTCGTGTCTTGCTTACAATACTCCTGCTAATACATCCCAGAATGATGTTTGCTTTTTTTGCAACACCGTTACACTGTTGCCTCATATTTAGCTTGTGATCCACTATGACCCCCAGTTCCCTTTCCGCAGTACTTCTTCCTAGGCAGTCATTTCCCAATTTGTATGTGTGCAACCGATTGTTCCTTTCTAAGTGGAGTACTTTGCATTTGTCCTTATTGAATTTCATCCTATTTACCTCAGATCATTTCTCCAGTTTGTCCAGACCATTTTGAATTTTAATCCTATCCTCCAAAGGATACTTGCAACCACTCCCAGCTTGGTATCCTCTGCAAACTTTGTAAGTGTACTCTCTATGCCATTATCTAAATCATTGATGAAGATATTGAACAGAACCGGACCCAGAACTGATCCCTGTGGGACCCCACTCATTATGCCCTTCCAGCATGACTGTGAACCACTGATAACTACTCTCTGAGAACGATTTTCCAACCAGTTATGCACCCACCTTATAGTAGCTCCATCTAGATTGCATTTCCCTAGTTTCTTTATGCGAGACCGTACCAAAAGCCTTACTAAAGTCAAGATATACCACATCTACCGCTTCCACAAGGCTTGTTACCCTGTCAAAGAAAGCTATCAAGTTGTTTGACATGATTTGTTCTTGACAAATCCATGCTGACTGTTATTTATCACATTATTATCTTCTAGGTGTTTGCAAATTGATTGCTTAATTATTTTCTCCATTATCTTTCCAGGTACAGAAGTTAAACTGACTGGTCTGTAATTCCCCGGGTTGTCCTTATTTCCCTTTTTATAGATGGGCACTATATCTGCCCTTTTCCAGTCTTCTGGAATGTCTCCCGTCTTCCATGACTTTTCAAAGATAATTGCTAATGGCTCAGATATCTCCTCAGTCAGCTCCTTGAGTATTTTAGGATGCATTTCATCAGGCCCTGGTGATTTTAAGACATGTAACTGGTCTAAATAATTTTTGGCTTTTTCTTTCCCTATTTTAGACTCTGATCCTACCATTTTCACTGGCATTCACTATGTTAGATGTCCAATCACCACCAACCTTCTTAGTGAAAACTGAAACAAAGAGATCATTAAGCACCACTGCCATTTCCACATTTTCTGTTATTGTCTTTCCCCCTCATTGAGTAACGGGCCTACCCTGTCGTTGGTCTTCCTCTTGCTTCTAATGTATTTGTAGAATGTTTTCTTGTTTCCTTTTATGTCCCTGGCTAGTTTGATCTCGTTTTGTGCCTTGGCTTTTCTAATTTTCTCCCTATATACTTGTGTTATTTGTTTATATTCATCCTTCGTAATTTGACCAAGTCTCCACTTTTTGTAGGACTCTTTTTTTGAGTTTTATATCATTGAAGATCTCTTGCCATACTTCCTATCTTTCCTACACAGTGGGATAGTTTGCTCTTTGCCCTTAATAATAAAAAACTTTTAGCATTTCATGATTTTTAAGAGCATGATTTCTCAAATTGAATGTTGAATTAGTGCTCTTCTTTTGCATGAAATTGTGCATGTGTTTGTGTCTATGTACACATACTGTATATAAAACCCTGGGCCCAATTCCACCTGCTTTAACACAGGTGCATCTTTCTTTGACGTCAGTGGGGGTTACGCCCATGTAAGGTTAGAGTACAAGTAGATATAAATAAGTATGTGTATGTACATGTGAACATACATATAATGTAAAATGTGTATACTGTGTATTTCGTAACATAGAGAGTACGTTCTGTGTGTATATATACATGTATGATGCCAACTAAAATGGCTTAGCTGTGGTTTGGCTCTGCAAGGTGGATGGAGTCAAATTCTGCTACTCGAAGCCATTTTAGACCCCGATGTGCTAGCTCACAGTATCTAAAATGGTTTATAATAGGATTTAGAATCATAGAATATCAGGGTTGGAAGGGACTTCAGGAGGTCATCTAGTCCAACCCCCTGCTCAAAGCAGGACCAATCCCCCAACTAAATCATCCCAGCCAGGGCTTTGTCAAGCCTGACCTTAAAAACCTTTAAGGAAGGAGATTCCACCACCTCCCTAGGTAACCCATTCCAGTACTTCACCACCCTCCTAGTGAAAAAGTTTTTCCTAATATCCAACCTAAACCTCCCCCACTGCAACTTGTTCTGTCATCTGGTACCACTGAGAACAGTCTAGATCCATCCTCTTTGGAACCCCCTTTCAGGTAGTTGAAAGCAGCTATCAAATCCCCCCTCATTCTTGTCTTCTGCAGACTAAGCAATCCCAGTTCCCTTAGCCTCTCCTGGAGTCATGTGCTCCAGCCCCCTCGCCATTTTTGTTGCCCTCCGCTGGACTCTTTCCAATTTTTCCACATCCTTCTTGTAGTGTGGGGCCCAAAGCTGGACACAGTACTCCAGATGAGGCCTCACCAATGCCGAATAGAGGGGAATGATCACGTCCCTCAATCTGCTGGCAATGCTCCTACTTATACAGCCCAAAATGCCGTTAGCCTTCTTGGCAACAAGGGCACACTGTTGACTCATATCCAGCTTCTCATCCACTGTAACCTCTAAGTCCTTTTCTGCAGAACTGCTGCCTAGTCATTTGGTCCCTAGTCTGTAGCAGTGCATGGGATTCTTCCATCCTAAGTGCAGGACTCTGCACTTGTCCTAGCTGAACCTCATCAGATTTCCCTACCCTCCAGCGTATCTACCACTCCTCTCAGTTTAGTGTTATCTGAAGACTCGCTGAGGGTGCAATCCATGCCATCCTTCATATCATTAATGAAGATATTGAACAAAGCCAGCCCCAGGACCGACCCTTGGGGCACTCCGCTTGATACCGGCTGCCAACTAGATATGGAGCCATTGATCACTACCCATTGAGCCCGATGATCTAGCCAGCTTTCTATCTACCTTGTAGTCCATTCATCCAGCCCATACTTCTTTAACTTGCTGGCAAGAATACTGGGGGTAGGGAATAGCCAGAAGTGCTGGGAACTTGGGCTGTTTGCGTTAAGGACATAGTAAACAGGAGTTACAGACAGTAAATGCAAATATTCCATCTCACAGGGACTGAGAGCAGGGAACTCTGAGTCCCTTCCACCTGGGCCTAGTGGCACTTAAATCAGAGATCTTGCAGTGCTCCCCAAACAGAGCAGGGGATAGCCCTGATGTTCTGACTAGCACTGAAATAAGTGCTAATGTCCAGGCAGTGGGTAAGCTATGGTTGGACATACGGACTCAGACTTACAAGGCAACCTAGAAGTTTTGGACACCCAGTTAGCACTAAAATTAACAGGAATTGAGCATCCACACGCAATTACTGGTTTTGAAAAGCTGAGCCATAATGGCTGGCTGTTTGCAGGTATGTGCACTAGCAGGCCTTGCTTCTGATCTGTTGCAGCAGTGTAAATGCAGAGTCAGCACCCTGAGGTCAGTTAGTGGCGTAACTCTGGATTTACACCAGTGTATGGTCAGAACTGAGGCACTGGTGTTGAAGTCATGGCTCTGAGACTCAGTAAGAACTAGGTCAAAATATCAAATAAAATCTCTCCCTTAGGAGCTGGAAACAATACTCTCAGCTAATCAAAGTGTGCTCAGTGGAGCTCTCCTCTAGGGCTGTCCAGCAAAATTCTTTCCCCGGGTATTTTTTCTACTCTTTCTGCTGATGCGAATTGCCGTCCTGCCACTTATTGTTTGTTTTGTTCTTGCAGGTCTGAAATGACTGTTCAGTCTGAGGCTGATCAAATCTAGAAGGGCTCCTGGTAAGTGTTTCCTGTTAGCTCTTCCTATAGCTCCATCCACTCAGCTGAGCTAAAGATGGCGAGTAAAGTACTTCCTGCTTGTAACTCACCCATGTGCTGTAAAGACAATGGACACAGTTACCACATAAATCAGACACATAACTCTGTGGAGCTAGGGCTAGAAGCCTGTTTCTTCCATTCCAAACTGTTATCACTCGAGCTGAAAGCTGCAGTAGATCCCGTCTCCTTTCTGTGGGCCAACCACTGAAGGGCAACATCCTGGGATCTCTTCTCTCGTCTGTGGGCAGCAGTAACCTGCTCTGAGCCACTTCGACAGGACAGAGAGAGAGGCCCGTGGATCAGTGTGAGCCCACAAGAATGGCCATTTGGAGCCTCCACTGAAAGCCCAGTGAGTTGGGTTTATGTGGGGGTGTGGGCGGGGTGTCACCATTTAATCTGGAGAGCTGAGGGTGGGGTGTTCACGAGGAAGTCATATGTTGATAAATTAAAATCAACATTATTAACTATTTCACAGCTGGTCATTTTAGCAGAAACATCTACTCTGACGCTATGGGGGAGGAGTCTAGGGTTGTGGGTGGAGCTTGAATAAAGTAACTGTAGTCCCCTGCATCTCCAGTCTGCCCCTTGGCAGTTTCACACAGACAGAAGCAATGTGACTCCAGTGGAGTTACACCAGGGATCAGTCTGGCCAAGAACGTGGACCTGCTCTCTCCCTCTGCTTAGATAAGACTCATGAACCATATTGCAGCCAGCAGCTATTAGTGGAACTAGGGTATTACACTTTGTCTGCAGATAGGAGTGGGTTTATTCATAGATTCATAGATTCTAGGACTGGAAGGGACCTCGAGAGG